TAACAGCAATCTCTAAGAACGTTCAGATTTCCAAGTCGGAGCTGTGTTTATTTAGTATTTACTTAATTTCCATAATTTTGGATCAGGCAGAGGTAAATTTCAACTGGGCAGCCATTTTGCTCTCTATAACAAATATTGGGTCAAAGTTACAGCTCATATTGTTAACGACAAACCTGAATGTTGTCTCATTTGCCAAAATGTCAGCTTTTGTGTACATGATTTAAGTTAGCAGTTAAGTTCAACTTGTCCAGAATCCTTTTGTAGAATTCCCAGGGCTTCTTGAAGTATATTTTATTGTGAACTCAAATATGCATCAAACTTATTAAGTATTCATCCTCTTTACTTCAACTTTCTTTTTTTTTCTAAACTTTTCGGCTTTCGAGTTCCCCTGCCTGTCCCCGACTTGACGATGTGCCGCTCCTCGAGCCAATCGTTTGTCCCCGTGCCTCACACGACCGATTAACAGACCTCGTATTTTGCCGCGATGGCATTTATATGGCCTGTCAACGCGGCCTTATTCTCACGTGGAAGCGACCGCCGATGTCTTATATGCCTCAGCAACAGCATCCTCAAATCCATCAACAGCAGCGGCAGATAGTAAACGATGAGAGGTACTTCAGCAACGGCCAGCAACAGACCTTATCTGCTCCTCCTTCTCCTAAGCCACACTCAAATACGGTGAACCTGGGCTCCACAAGGCATAGATCGGTATGTTTTTCAAACTGGCTCTCTGTTTATAGTATCATATTCACTAGTGATTGCACAAACCATGCGGTATAGATCAACCCCCATACCCAATCCTATCATTTTTATTGCATAATAATAATATACACTATTTAACAATTATACATATTCATAGGATTTTCTCCTTTAAGACGAACAGCTACTACTATTTGTTAAAGTAAAATTATAATCCTGAATGATGTATTTTCATGCGTTAAAATGTCCCTTCAAATTGATGGCACCATTTTTATTAACTATAGCTAATCGATTTAATAGGCAAAGTTTATAGTTCATTAAGAAGAATACCTTAATTTAAATGATCTTCATATAACGCACTATTTCTCTTCTTTGATTTGGTCTAGCTTCCGCAATTTGTTATAGTTAAAAAGGAGATCCCGTGGAACGTATCCATTTATGCGTCATCTGTTATAGCATTAAAGATAAGTTCCAGCATCTGACCGCTTACCTATTAAATTACCATAAGTTTCGGCAGCATTGTATTCAGTATCGTGAGATACCTTACCCTTAACTCCTTGTGCTGCATCCTAATCCTTCAACCCTAATTCATATGTTCACTTTATCTACCTACTTTCCATGTTTTCACCTGTTCCAATATCTCCTAGGTGTGTGCTATTTCAAGTGGATTTAATTAAGCGCACTCACCTTCATTACGAGTTTCCGATGTTGTTTAGAGGTCTTGGGAAACCTAATCGGCATTTTCTCTTAGCCACCCAACCTGCTACTTGTTCCCTGCGGCACTTGAAAATCATTGTTATTTGATTGACTTTTTATAAGCCATCGACTTCGGAAGATGATTCGTCATACTCGAGGATTTATTCGCTCGATTATAAACGAAACTATGCTAGAACATGTAAGATAGCTTTGTCGAGGACTATTATCAAACCTTGATTCTCACACATGTAACTCATTTTAAGTCCCCTAGGTATCATAGACACTATGCTACAGTTAGCCTCTGCCCCACCTCCCCATTATATTACATATTTTCCTTTGTTTGGCTTCATGTGTAATCGCTGGTGCGGAGCTATATCGCTTGATTCAATTACAACACTCATCTAGATTTCTCCTGTTATCAGTCAAACTTAATCCTGATGTTCCACTCAGCTTGGTCTGTGCATATTGTTTAATAAATACTTTCGTCAGGCTCTTATTGAACCACTCCTCACTTCTCACTACATACGCAGACACTTAACCCATTATTATTATGCCAACAATCTCTGCTGCCACGCCCAAGTAAGTTTGAAATAGGTCTAGATTTCAAACTTGGCATCCCTAATGGTATACTATTCAGAAGTTTAAGCTCCTTTATTTATATATCCCAATTGGACCTACCCTAGCAACTTTTTCGATCCTCACTACAATCACCTTCTTTTGACGTCCATTTGCCCCCTTTCAATTTATCCTTCTATTTCTTAAGTAATTTCCATGATACAGATATCACCTTTTTGCTGTCGTGACCACTCACTGCAGTATGTTCTGCTATTTCTGATCTTTCTATATTTATTATTTGGCATAGCTGCTGAGGCTTTTTAGCCCTTATGCTGATCACTCTCCCCTTTTCTCCACTGTGCTGTTGTTCAGTCGTAGTTGATGCAATGAACCACCGAGAAATCAATTTTATTAGCCAGTGCATAGTGTTCTGGCTAATTGTGTTATTTTGCACATGTTAAGCTCGACTACGTCTGTCGTCAACTTTTTACGGCAAACCAAAAAAATATATTGGTGTATGTTATTTTATGCACATTGTATTTCTATAGTTTACTCATTAGGTTATACGCCAAGTTTTGAAAAGCACATATTTGGCTGATTAGATGTATTCGAATAAAATTAATGTATGCTATTCAATTAGGTCTCTCTTAAAGTATTCCAGCGGAATCACATACCTAAATTGAATCATCTCATGAACTAGATTCACTATTTTGATCAATCTAATCGTAAAAGTAAATTATATCTTGCATATTCTCTATTTTACATAAAATAAAGTTTATAGAGAACAAGTTGTCGATCTTTTTGTCATAGTTTTTGCCTTCGGGCTTCCAATCTAATTTTATTTCATAATTTTCTACTCTCAATCTCCATTATGCTGTTCAGCTTCATATTTTAATATTTATTTCGAATTCTACATGTCATTTGGGGCAGGTAATTAAATAATACCAGGCTTTCTGCTATTGGTTTTATATCCGAAAATCGAAACTGACTAAATTCCGACCAAATTTACTTCGGATTACCTAACGGATTTAAAATTTCATGGGGCCAATATGCTACAATATTGCTAACGAATTATTTATTAAAGCTAACCTACAATAACCAATCCTGGTTATTTTTAGAAATATACTAACTTATCTTCAATTGTACTGCGTTAAATTGTAATTTGTCGGGGCTTTTTTGCATTAAATGTTAATCACGATTTACTCATTGTCCCTTTTTTCCACTGCGATATTTTGCCTATCCCCATAATCTTCACCTCCATCTCTTCATCTACATTTACACCTGAATCTTCTTATCCCTCATTTTCATCAACCTCAGTCTGGCACTTCCTCCGCCATATTTTATCCTCCATCTACTTGTATATCTGCCTTCGTCCCTTATGTCGATCCCACCTTATCTCTTGCATGCATCCCTGTGGCTCCATCTCCCTTTAAATTTACTTCCAGCATTCAGGCCAGGCCGGCCAACGCGAGAACTGCTCCTTCCTTAATGCATGTTCTCTAAATTGGAAATGCACCACTTCTCGTTCTAAGACCAGCTGTCAACAACCACCACTCTAAATTCACCCGTTAAGTTCCCCATTTTCAGGTCAACCTTATGCTTCGAAATTTACTACCTTCACTACCTCCACTCCTCTTATGAAACCAAATAGCACACCGCCGGTATCAGGTACTGATGAACCAGTAAACGTTCACTCGACCGTTTTCATGGGACCCTCGACTTATTTATCAGGCGATCTCAACCAAACAGATTTAGCTTGTTCAGCGTTTCCTCTTAGATGCGACTCTCCGTTTCATCAGATAAATTTAGGACCTGAGACATAAGTCATATTTTCTCATGCCAGCGCTCATTGGCATTTGCCATAAAACCTCAAACCAGCACGCCACAAATCACATAGTGAGCTGGACACCGAGAGGTCATCAGAAGAACACCCCAAAGTCGCTAGCGTTTCTCTGCTTGGTTACACAGCTCCAACACATGTCGAGAACGAAATGGCTGTGTCTGGGACTTATTACCATACTGATCAACATTGTCGACAGCCGCCCCAGCAGCACCATCAACATCAACCGGTAAAACATCAGTCACAGTCTGATTCCAGAGCTTCTCACTCACAGCAGTCTGCATACACTATGTATGCTCATCTTCAACATCAGCAGCATCCATCTAACCATCATCAACACCGTTCTTCTCTTCGCGACCCAATTCATTCAAATCCTCATCAATCTCAATCATATCAGTCATGGCAACAGCAACAAAAATCCCATCAATCACTCAATCAGCACCATCGTCGCCATCACTACTCGGAACATCAACGACAGCCAATGTCCAAACAATATGTCTACAACCATTTACACCACCTATATCATCACAATTTGCCCCTCATGATTACCGGGTGTCTCCTAATCCCCTTTCTTCTGACTCGCGACCTCCAGACCAGAAACTGTATTTATCTGTCGCAAGTTATCGGGCCGGGAGTCAATTACATATGCGCCCACATCGACGGTCCAATTTTTTACTGGCAGCCCTATCTCACCTTCTCCCTCATCTCCTACCTCTTCTCATTCATCTATGTGCCTCGCCTCATCTGCCTCATCTTCATCTCAACTATATCACCAATCCTTTCATTCCGACTCAGCTTTTGGGATCAATTCATGTGTTTCTAAATCGAGCTCAGTCTGTCATACAGTTGCTCTTCAGGAAGCCTGCTTGGCCACCAGAAGTCCAGACATCATCCTATCCCTTCGAGACCAGGGAGTTTAGCTCAACTTGTCTGGATCAATTCATAGCAAATTAAATTGTGCATTGGGGTTGTAATCTAGACTTCGAACGTGATATAGACTTAATCCTATTCATACATGACCTTATGTATGCTCAATTTCGTCTTTCTTTTCCAAGAATCTGGACAGACTTGTATATTATGTTTTATATCTGTCACTCCTCGTTCGGGTGTTTCGCATTATCATTCTACCTGCTGACAAAGTAGTTTGTCAACTTCATGTAATCTCCCAATCCTATGATAACCGAATTTATTCTTTTATACCTGCTAAATTTCTACTCTCCCACGTTTCGTATAAATCCCACCATTGGCTCCATTTTCAAGTTTTAGCCCCTCCTCCTTCACTCCAAAGTTCTATTAATGCACAAACTGCTGTGAAACGTAATTTAATTACTTGTTCAATCAAATCTCAAAAACACACCCCGTAATCAGTCAGCAGTGCCTCCATATTTTCCCGGTGTCATAGAATTGTACATCCTTATCCTTCCCCTTAATCAATAAACACTTAATATTTTCTATTTCTTTTGTTATCCCCTTCATACCTACATATACAAATCATGGTCATCATTAATTTGTCGCTTTCCTAAGCCTTGTCTTACCTATATGACTGTCATCTTTCTCTCCTCACATACATCCGACTATTCAACTTCATACAATTACATTTTTCGACAAGTTCAGTCATTGAAATACCCGTTGCCTTTCTCAACTAAAGTGCAATATATTTTCACTTGCTCGGTCCAAATATTATCTCTAACTAGAGCCAACTTCCAGTTGCCCCCTAGTAAAGCTTTCCTTCATCTCACAGCTTACGCTATTGTTATAAATAAAGATAGATCAGATCCTCATTTGAAAATGATGCACTGCTTGGCAAAGTCTCTTAAAGCTTCCTATAGTTGTAAAATATAATTTTTTTTATATCAGGCTTTGTGTGAGATAAAAATGTTGAGACTTCTCTACTTTTATTGTAGCAAGACTCGAAGCAGATCTAATAGATCCGCTTAATCTCTATTAGCTGATTTATTTTCGAAACTACCACTAGGTTCTCATTCGGCTAGTTTAACTTTGCTGTCACCTTTTTAAAATTATGGTACTTGTAGGCCTTACAATCGAACTTCTTATTTCGTTAATGAGCCTCTACTATTCTGACAAAAGTTGTAGAAAATACATATAAAAATTGGTTAACCCAAATTTGCTGTGTCTGGCTAATGATTGTCTCCAAGATTGAAGTCTTAACCTTAAATATTTTTTTCATTCAAAATTTATTTTAGAAATGCTCCGACCCCGTTTTTGCAACATGTTCATGCTGCCAGGGCCACCTTTACTAAAGTACCTTCCCGGTATTATCGGCCAGCATCGCTCCGTAGACCTAGTACATTCCCAAACTTTTGCTGGTACTGTCATTGATCCTTGAGAAGCTATATCTTGTCAAAGAATTCCTGTCGTATTTTCATCTACTCCCAATCCTCGTATCTCACTTTCTATAACAACTTGTTTTAGATACCTAGGGTAAATACGTTTTAATGGATAGACTTTTATTTCATATGATAATGAGATTCATTGATTGATTTCATTGGAATGCGATGACCGATTCCCGTTGTTCTGCAGCCATTTGGCTTTAATTCGGCGCTCATTTTGACGCAGTCAACGAGACATCTTTCGTTTCGGGTTAAGCTTTCGTGCATCACATGATAATGGATATCATCAGAGCCGGAACTCGTTCTTGTAAAGGTCAAATGTCAACATTAGATCAGGAAGACATAAAATAGAGCCAGACAGTTATATTGACCTAGATTTTTAGAAGGATGAGTTGCAGCTCTCATGATGTCCATCATATGATGGACGAAAGCTTAGCTCGATTTAACTCGAAATAAGGGAGGATGTCTCGCTGATTGCGTCAACTTGAGAGTCGCATTAAGGCCAAAAGGCTGCAGAATAAAGTGTCGACCGTCGTCTTCCGGTGAAATTAATCAACGAATCTCTTAATCATGCACTTTCATCAGAAACGTAGGTCTCCCCAGCAATTTCCTGTTTATTCTGAGCTACTCCAGAGGCGAACTATTTTGAGCATATTTATTGAGGTATAATTGCACTATTCCCCTTATTGCTGATTTGTTGATCCAACTCGTCCCACTCGTGCCCGTTTCTAGTCTGCCTTAAGCGCCGCATGGTACGTGCAGGGCTCCAAAAATCTTATTATGCAGCATGTATTATGTGCATTATTTGCCAATATCTATTCCTTAGTAGATAGGTACGACCCTGTAAGTTTTAATAGCTGGGTTGGCAGAGGACGCTGGGCAAAGTAAATCTTTGGAGGTGCCCCCGACAATACGTCCAAGTTTTGAAATAATAT